GACAACCTGCACGCTGGCATCGCAGCTGGAGTCGAACGCCCCCAGCCTGGAACCGTGGCCTTACTGAAGACCCCTTGAAAATAACGTGTAGGACCCACTGCTGGAGCAGCGCCCGCTCCACTGGTAAATAACCACCACACTCTCCAGAAAAGCTGGGTTTGCAGCCGGGCTGGAAGGAAAAGGTGCAGGCAGGAGGCCCGTGAGGTTGCTTCGACTCCGGTTAGCCACTTCCCGTCCCTCGGTGGCCCCACGTGCGCTGCTCTCGCTTCTAAGAAAACAAGCGAGCAGTGAGCAGGCAGCCGACCACAGGGCGGCGAACGCATGGCTGGAAGCTGTGCCAGCCTTGCAGGTGGCCCCGTGCAGGCTGGGTTTCTTCTCCGCTGACCGTGGTGGGACGGGGGGGGCTGCAGCCCACTTTCCCCCTCTGCTGCCTGCGCCCCGGCCAGCCTGGACCAGGATGCTGAGAGCTCCAACATCTCCCAGGCAGCGCCGCTCAGGGACTGACTGACCCCGGCTCCTCCAGCACCCTCAGCTCCCCGTGCCTCTGGATCATAGAATGGTTTGGGTTGGAAGGGACCTTGAAGACCATCCCGTTCCACCCCCCCTGCCCTGGGCAGGGACACCTCCACCAGCCCAGGTTGCTCCAAGCCCCGTCCAACCTGGCCTTGAACACCTCCAGGGATGGGGCAGCCACGGCTTCTCTGGGATGGGGGGTTCTCCACCCTGGCAGGTCCAAAGGACTCACAAGACTCTTTGCAGAGCCCCACGCAAAGTCCAGCCCGGCCCCGCTGCTCCCAGAGCTCCTTGGCCCTGGTCCAGCCTCCTCCGAGCTGCTGGGGCAGGGGGGGAAGAGGGGCCCAGGGGAGGAACTGACGTGTGGCAGGACGTGCTCGTTCGCCCTGATTATTTTTGCAGCGCCTCCGCCGCACGTGCACACAAGGACCATCCGACCTTCCCCACTGACCTACTCTTGGGTTTTCAGCAGCCCCATGAGCACGACTGGGATGTGGTGGTCCACCCTCAGGCTGCACAAGAGCCCTCGGACAACTGTCCCCCCCGTGGACTGGTGGATGCCGTAGCCCCCATCTCACCTGCCATCCAACCGTGTCCCCAACCCTTGCCTGGAGTCCCCAGGAAAAAAAAAAATCCCCCACCCTGTCCCAGCAGTGACGTGCCGCAGCCCCTGTGCCCACGGGGGTCTGTTTGCAGCGATGTCATGAGTCCGCCCCAGGGGGGCTTAGGCTGAGCATCACCTCACCACTGCCGGTGCAGGCTGGGCAGGACGGCGCTGGCATTACGTCCCACATCACCCACACGTAGTGCCGGCACTGTGGGGTGCCCAGTGCCACCCCCACCGTCCTCCCGGCACCAACCCAAACCGATGCTGACAGCCGTATCACTGGGTGCAGGAGGTGCCACGAGCCCCGGAGATCATCCTGCGCGGCACAAAATGGCTCAACCACATACCCTGCCCGATTCGAGGGGCTGGGGGAAACGTGAGGTGGAATCCAAACCCCTCTCCTGGCAACCCCCACAACAAACAACCCCTCTGGAGCTTCACCCGGTCTGTTGTCGTGCTGCAGGGGTGCATCAGCCGCAGCAGATTTGGGGCTTGAAAGTGTTTATATCTGCAGCTGACTAGCAACATCCGCAGACGCCGCGCTGGTGCGAGCAGCGCCCAGGGAAGGCGGCGGTGGCGGTGTGGGATTCCCCAGCCCAGCGCCGAGCATCGCCGCAACCCAGCCGGAGACCACACCGTGGGGCGGGCTGGGGGTGGGCTGTGAAAGAGCCCCTTCCCACACTGGCTGGTAACGGCGCTCGCAATGCCCGGAGGCAGAAAAGGACCGTGGGTGGAATAAACACCGGAGTCAGAGCTCGACTGTGAGGGCGAGACTCCTGCGTGCAATGACTCAGAGGGGAAAAAATGTCCCGAGTGACACTGGGGTCGCTGCCGTCACCAACGTGCGAGGCAGGGACAGTCCCCGCAGCCCTGTGGATGTGGGCTGAGTCTCCCGGCAGAGTGGGGTGCTCCGCCCCCCGCGGCACGGCCGAGCATCACGGGCGCATCTCTGAGCATCACGGGCACATCTCCGAGCATCACCGCCGCCCTCGGCCCCACCGCACCGCTCTCACCCCCGTCCTCTGGCTGCCCCTCGACGGGGCCGGGGGGTCCCTTTGGGAGGCAGATCAGTGGCCCCGTCACGCAGCGTGGGGAGAGTGACGGCAGAAACTGTCCTTATGCACAACCCACCCTGCACGAGGCTCTGTGGGGGCTGCTCTCCTGCCCTCCCTCCCGAGCCCTGGAGGTTGCAGGATTAATGCCCATTCAGCAGATCTCTGCGACAGCGCTAAGCCCCAGACTGGCAGATTACATGACCAATATCCTCCTGATCAGCACCCCATGAACCACGGGGGTGAGGGAAGAAGCTAAAACCGTCTCGTTTCCTGCTCAGGCGATTGCAAGAGAGCCGCACGTGGTCCGGCTCCACACAGACGTCACCCCAGAGACAAGCAGAGCCCCACATTCCTCCTCTCCCCTGAGCTCCTCCAGGTCATCCCACCGCTCATGGGACCGCTGCTGGGGAGGAGAAACCCTGGGGTGGACCCTGTCCATCCATCCCCACCGCCCGCCCTCCGTCCATCCATCCATCCCACTGCCCTCCCTCCCTCTATCCCCCCTCCCTTTGTCCATCTATCTGTCCCCACTGCCCTCCTTCTGTCCATCCATCCCCGCTGCCCTCCCTCCCCGCTGCCATCCTTCTGTCCATCCATTCCCACTGCCCTCCCTCCGTCTGTCCATCCATCCGTCCCCGCTGCCCGGGCGCGCCAGCC